CCCTTCCAACTCTTGTTCTTATGAGCAGAGGGTTGGACTAGATGACCTAAACGGTCCCTTCCAACTCCTGTTCTTATGAGCAGATGACCTACAAGGCGCCTTCCAATTCTTGTTCTTGTGAGCAGAGGGTTGGACAAGATGACCTACAAGGCCCCTTCCAACTCTTGTTCTTATGAGCAGAGGGTTGGACTAGACGACCTCCAAGGCCCCTTCCAACTCTTGTTATGAGCAGAGGGTTGGACTAGATGACCACCAAGATTTCTTTCAACTGTTATTCTGAGTAGGGGGTTGGGGTAGATGACCTCCAAGGCCCCTTCCAACTCCTGTTCTCAGTAGGGGGTTGGACAAGATGACCTCTGAGACCCCTTCTAACCCGTTGTTTTTGAGCAGGGGGTTGGGCTAGATGACCTACAAGACCCCTTCCAATTCTTGTTCTTATGAGCAGAGGGTTGGACTAGATGACCTCCAAGGCCCCTTCCAATTCTTGTTCTTATGAGCAGAGGGTTGGACTAGATGACCTCCAAGGTCCCTTCCAACTCTTGTTCTTATGAGCAGAGGGTTGGACTAGATGACCTCCAAGATTTCTTTCAACTCCTGTTATTCTGAGTAGAGGGTTGGGGTAGATGACCTCTGAGACCCCTTCCAACCCGTTGTTTTTCTGAGCAGGGGGCTGGGCTAGATGACCTCCAGGGCCCCTTCCAACACATTCTATGTGTTGTATTGCACCCGGTGCCGCTGTGTTGGTCCCCGCAAATCCTTGGATGTTGATAAACTACAATCCGTGGTTAGTTTTGTGTGACCCCCCCCCCCGATTGCGGTTTACGCACGTTGCGAAACAAAAGGGTGGGGGGCGGGCGTCCTTTCCCCTCGGCCCGGCAGCGCTGCGAGCGCCTTTAAGCCCCGCTGGGGACTACAACGCCCATCCCAACCGAGCGCAGGAAGCAATGAGGGGCGTTGTAATCATCCCCAGGCTCCCAGCGGGGGCGGCCTCGTCACGTGATGCCCGCGCCTGCCGTGGGCGAGACGGCCAGCGCCACGTGACCATTCCTCTCCTCTGACGTCAGTCACATGACGGGACGTTGCACATCCCTCTCCCTTCCTTTGCCGTGTCCTTCCGCGACGTTTGAGCGGAAGCCGCCTTTCCAAAGGGAAGGGGCGCTTTGGGAGCGGGCCGCTCCATCCATACCCCCCGGCCTCTTTTTTCCCTTCGAGTCCCGCCGTTTGGCGTCCCGTTGGAGCCCTTTTTGCCGCGGCGGCGGCTCGGCGGACTACTTTGTTTTTGGTGTATCACGCGGGCACGCAGAGATACGCAGCGCCCGCTGACGTCACGCGCCCGAGGGGAGGGGCGGGGCCTGAGCCAAGCGTTCGGGGAAAAAACACGGCTTTCCCTCCCGGGAATCCGGGCCATCGTCGATTCCCGAAGCGCTTCCAGGATCCCTCGCGCCATCCGAACCAACAAAACAGAGCCGGCGGCGCCCGTTGGAGGCTCGAGAGCCGTTCGGTGGGCGTGGCCGCGCCTCGCCGGGACTCCTTCCCCGCTCCCCCGCCCCTCGGATCGCTGCGCCGCGTCGGTCTCCCGCGCATGCGCGTTGATTGGGTGCAGAGGCCTTTTTTGTCGGTCCTCCGCGTCGCTTCCTCCGTTTTTCGGTGCCGTCGCCATGAAGTTCGTCTACAAGGAAGAGCACCCGTTCGAGAAGCGCCGCTCCGAGGGGGAGAAGATCCGGAAGAAGTACCCGGACAGGGTCCCGGTGAGTCTCTAGGGAGACGCGCACTCCCCCCCGCTCCCCCGGAAGTCTCTTTTGAGGGTGTCCGGACTTTCCCGGACGGGGCTTCCTTCCCCTTTTCTCAGCCTCCTGCTTTTTTTTCCCCCCCCCCCACGGCAGGTCATCGTGGAAAAAGCCCCCAAGGCCCGAATAGGGGACCTGGATAAGAAGAAATACCTGGTGCCCTCCGACCTCACAGGTGAGAGGAGACCCGGACAGGTGGATGGGGGGGGGG